ACAACAACCGTGGATTCATTAGCGTTCAGCTGATCGGCGTAATCCTGAAGGTCCAGCCTGGCGAGTTCCTAGGCTCCCATTTCCTTACGGTAATACTGGATACCTTTCTATTTACACATCTCTTGCACTTTGGAGTAGTGCAGAGACTGGTAGAAGTCCAAGCGTAGCATTATGTAGGCTGCAAGGCCCCTATCATCGGCATCTTCTTCATCTTCAGTGCAGGTAGCATTCTGCACCAAGTCCACGTCGTCTCTTTCCGAGGGCGCATACTTAACAGGCTCTCGCTCAACGACTTTCGCCTTGCCTTTTTCGTCCCCCAACCCTTGCATTAGCGCAGCCAGCATCTTCTTAATATCACCTAGCTCGCCGCTCCCTTCCATCTTAGCTTGAAGATTTTGCTTGACTCCGGCTTGCCCTTCTTGTTCTGATGACACATCAATCCGTTTCGATCTTGATTTTCCCTTAGCACTACCACGTGCCCGAGTCTTAACCCGATTCGCGGATGGTGAGTTGATCACCGGTGGGCACACCCCCCCTCCTCCCTTACGCTTCTCGCTACTTGTGGAGTCCGTACTAACCTTCTCCGAACGAGTTTTCTCCTTCCTAAGTCGTTCCAACTCTTCCTCCTCGTCCGATGTCAATTTTGATTTCTTGTCTACTGCTGCCAGTTTCTCAATGATACACTTCAACGAATCCCCCACCGTGGAGGTAACCCACGCTTTCATTTCGTCGGTTTTATCCGACTTCTCACTCCTCCCTCCGGTGCGATGCTCACTTCGGCTGCGATCACATGGTAGCTCCGTAATGCGAGTTCCCCCTCTCCTTGAAGTCGCAATTTTCTTCTTTGCTTCGTCTAGAGCTTTATCCATCTTGATACCTTCCAGGATATCCATATACTCCTTCGTGAAGTAAGCCCGGTTGCCGGAGCCGGGGAACATATTCGCGACAGGTCCCTTTGCTTTGCGATTGGACGAGCCGCTCCCCTGATTCGTATGCCCGGAGGCTTGCTGATTCGTTGACGGCACCATCGGCATCTGCGACACATTCCATTGTGGGATCGAAGGCCATTGCCTTATGCCATGCCATGGCGGCCCTGGCCATTGGCCTTGTGGTGGAGCTTGGAATTGAGCTGGCATGGTCGCCGGAATCGCCGGTGGTACGCTAAACTGCTGTGGGAACAAACCCGGAGGCGGTGGATTAGTTGCAGGGTTCAACTGCGCAGGTCCAATCGGTGCGAATCCCCCACTGGCATTCGGCATATACCCTTGATTGCTACTCCCTTCCATCCAATAGCGACCGCAGTTCGACCACCGACCTTTCCTACCCCCTCCTCTCTTTCCTAGCTTCTCCCGTACATACGCCCAACTGCGCAGGTCAGGAGAATACCAACGCTTATCGCAACAAGTATGGTCTGGCCGCAATACTCGCCTTGCTTGTAAATCAGTCAGTTGTTGCACCTTGCAATCAGCACCATGTGTACACACCGTGGCAACGACCCTTGGAGAAGTGCGCTAATGACTAACGCTCCACCAATGGAACCAACCGAGGGCGCACAACACTCTATTGTTCCGTTCCAGATCCAGGACAACACCACGATGCTACGGTCAATGCCACCACCAACATTACGAATCATTCCAGAGATCACCCCCAGTTACTCCGGAGAGGCTTACAACGAGTACAGGGGCGAAGATACGATAAACTTTAAAATTACCAACGCAGCTCCCTCAATGGGAAAGCATATGAACGGCAATTCACCGTGGTAAACTCGCAAAGTACCACAAGGTACGAACATTGAAGGAATAATAAGATCATACTCAAGAATTAAAATTGAATACAAATATACGAAACATATGCAACCCAGTCACGCACAACCCTCAACCACGTGAAAGTTGGCACCTCATTCTCGTTCCCAAGCCACGGCAAGGTCGAAAACGAGGCTCTGTACCATGAGACAATACAATGGATACACAATAAGAAGAAGAAGATTTGAGCTTTAATGTCGTGACGCCATCACCTCCTTCCCGGCAACACCTCAACCCACACTGTTGAGGAATCTCAATCCTTCCACTCGTACGTCACTGAAATTGAGGTCAATTCCTACACTACTACTCATTTAATTAGTATCTATTTGCTCGGTTTTCGCATAATGGAACGCGAAGTACATCGGACTCACCCTTGACTTTCCATTCCCGCCGGCGCGTCTTCCTGCGCTTCTACCGGTCATATTTACCAATCCCTGCCCCGTATTCCCGATATTGGGGCTCGGTACATTTACTCATGAAAAATTCCTACGTACGGGTTAAGCGTGGGCCTAGCCACCACGCTTACCACGTATATTCTCGCCCATTATTACCAAACTTAATTGGGCATATTTATTTATCTAGATACACTCACTGTCTTTCTCAACCAGGCTTAGTGCCTTTTTTTACGACAAGCAAAAGAGAGAGAAACGAAAAGATGAAAGAAAAGAATAGAATAGAAAAGAAAAGAAAAGAAAAAAAAAGAAAAGAAAAGAAAAGAAAACCCCAATAGGCTTTGAGGCTCCGCTGGGAAACCGGTCGTCGGTAGTGGCCGACGGCTGTATGTAGGACACCTCAGCGCGATCGTTCACCACAGTCCCACACCAAACGAGTTTTTATGTCGTGTATCGGTGATACAGTCCTGCACCTTCCGGCGATCCTCTGCCGAAGCCTCAAATCATGCGTAGGAGATCGAGCATCTTAGCCTAGAAGGGCGTATTTACTCGGCGCTGCATCTAACGTAACCCGACCAACATGATCTTACCTGGGTAATCCGATTTTTCCAGCTCTTTTGGGAGGGACAAAATTCCCCAGCAGGTGAGTCCATCGTTGTTACTGTTTTTCGAGATCCTGAGGACCGTATTAGCAACCGTGGACTATTTCGCTGCAGTGTGTCCGAACTATCAGAAGGATTTGTAGGTCGTAAACCCCAACGCCGATTCTGCCCAGATGGTGTGTGCATTTTTGAATTTGTGTGCCATCAACATCACACCTTGTTCCTCAGAAAATAAAATCCGAGTCTCCAAAAAGTCAAGAATGCTCACCCCAGGATCCATTCGTTCCAGAATTAGCCCGTCAGGGTAGATCTTGGTGACTGAATCAAGCAGCATCTCTGCCTTCTTTCTACTATCTGGGTCGTTACTTCGAACAAAGGCCCAAATCAACAGATCATCGATGTATTTCTTCCCAGAAATCATTCTGGCATCAGTCCGAAGTGACCGATTAAAACACCATTCGGAATACATGCACATAGCACATGTCAGCGGAGGGCTTGCACGGCCTCCCATCGGAATACCTTTTTTTTGTCTCAAGATGGTATTTAAGACGAGAAAAAAGGGGTTATCTAAAGAAAACTTCGTGAGAGAAATCACATCACACAGGCGGATGGATTTCCAGCCGGATTCGCCGTGGGATTTACCAAAACAGGCGGTCCGTTTCTTTSGATTAATCCTGAAACATTTGATCCCTTTCTGATGGAACAACCCAACCACCCACTCAAATGCCTTCTGAATCACATCGTGAGGCAGTTGCGAAAACATTTCTTTAATATCGTAAGAACGTGCCACCACACCCAATTCCTCATCCTTATATTTCTGGTCAATAGTACACACAGCATCTTTCACGCCCCTTAGCGACCGGAAATTAAAATGCGGGACATCAGTTTTCTTAATCAGTTTGTTCAGGATAATCGACAGTGCCCTAGATGCCGCTCTAAAAGGACTAAGGTAAGAGGGGACAATCGGCCTCCTCTTATTTTTGTCCTTTTGTTTTGGCATTATGTAGGCATGTTGCAGTTCCCCCTTCCGGTCCCATGGAGCGAAACGATCCAACAAGTCTTCCTTATACTCCTGCTTCATACGATTCAGGATCGCTTTCTTGTCGTCCTCAATTCTCTCGTAGTTATCGTTCTTCAAGAAGGTCTTGTCTAATCCGTCGGCGTACCGTTTCGGGCATTCAATCCATGTCTCATTCCGATTCATGTCTAGCGGGGACAGGACCAGCCCGGAGAAAGATTGCTTTAGCCCCTGGACATATTTGTTGAGGACACACTGTGGATCCCTTGCTACACCTTTCCTTGAGACTTTCAGCATGTCGATATGGAATAATCTGTCCCCCAGTCCCTTGCCTCTGAGACAATCAAGTGCTTCATTTCAGGCCGAGTTAATCATCCTTCTGTTGTCCATTATTCCCAGAAAGGGAATATTTTTTCCATCGCAAACAAAGGGATGAATGCTATTTAACTCACTGATCTTGACCGCGACGTACCCATCAATCCTAGGCAAGTCAAAGTCAGCGCAAAAGCATTCAAGGTTGCTTTCTTGCGCAAATAACTTTTGGTTATGCAGGAGATCTCCCACCGATTTTGCTTTGAGCCAAACGGTTTTTGTTCTCCTTGCATACAGATCAACCAGTGAGTCTGGTTGGACACACTCTACAATTCAACTTTTTACCTCTTTTTCGACTTTCCCTTTGTTAACCGTTGTACAAAACGGCATTTTTATGACAATGTTCACTCGAGGGTTAATTCCAAACCTCTTCTTGAACACATTGGTAAGTATCCCCCAATAATTTGTCGGCCCCTCCTTTGATTGATTGTCTTAACCGCGTTGTTCAGGTCAATCATTTTCTCCAGGTCTTTCTTCCAGAGATCATGACATTTCCAGGGAGCTCTCAGTAGTGCGATCAATTTAGCCTTCTTTAGATTTGTTTTCGTCTAAGTACGTAATAGCTGCAGAATCCTCCATACCCCTCATAGCTCGATCTCAGTCTTTCATCCTTGAGGAGGAGCTTGGACCCCCCAATTTTAATTTTGGTGTAACCAAACAATAGAGCAATCAGTCGCCACGCTTTAAGCCAGCGACCACCAGGATTATTGGTCATAACAACATCTTTCTTAATCTTGCCCTTCATCAAGCTTTTCAGAATACTCAGCGAATTTGGATCGTGCACATAGTTAGTTGCAACACATTAAAACAATAGGGGTTCCGTGACATTAGCAATATTCTTTACAACTCTTTTCCAGTTGCCTCGCACCTTACGAGTGCTGGTTTTTTCGTGCTTCCCCACGGCATTCAACCCAGGGTTGTACGCCCGGATGACATCCTGTTCTACCTCATTAATAACCACCTCATCCCCGAACCAGATCGGAATCGGAGCATAGTAGTCAATACCGGTTTTTCTCAGCCAGTTATGAACCTTCTGCTTACTGTCTTTTTTAAGCGCCCTACGGTGTTCCGCCCATCTTTCCTTCAGGGTCCGTGAGGTTTTTCCAACATGGACAGGACTGTGACTAAGCGATAGGAGGACATAGACACATTTATCCCCTTTAAGTAATCTATCCAAGTCCCGTTTGTCGAATCTTAGCCATAAACGAACATATGTCTTGCCCCACTTAATATCCCCCCTAACGCAAGCAACGAGGAGTATCAGCACATGAACTTGTTTCGGTAGCGTAGCTACTTGCTACCTTACACACTGCTTAAGAGATCGAATACGTTCGACTGCACGCCTAAGCGATCTCAGGCTCCCGAGACTCAGTTTCCCCCGACTGTATCTTCGTCGGCAACGTCACCTCCGTCTATCCGGCTCGTCTCGTTCTTCTTCGAAGGTCCGACAACAACCGTGGATTCATTAGCGTTCA